AAACTAGTTTCGTTGCAAAGGGTTGTTCGTAAGTGGAATTTATTCGTAAGTCGGGCGAATTTTAAAAATTTCGAAATATACTTTCGTTACCACACTTTTTATCATAGTTTTTACTTTTATATATATTAAATTCCGTATTACTGACTGCGTGAATTTGAAAAAATAGATTAAAATAAACAAAATACTTACTTACAAATACTTTTCAATGTAGACATCATAATTATTTAGTAAAAACGACAAAAGAAACAAATGCAACAAAACACATCTTCCAACAATATTATATTTTATTAAAGAAATTATCAATTTTTCTATGGACAGTTAATTTTTTTCACTATATAGCTCCTTGTAACAAGTTAAAGCTTCGTAAATCGGGGGGATACTTGTACTTTAAATATACTTAACTGATTGTTTATGATATTTAAGATCAAATTATAAACGTTACTACAACTAAAAAAAATGGATGAAAATGGAATAAAAGGAAAAATATATCGTTTTAAACAAAACTGAATTTCATATATAATTATTAAAAATTATATATATTTATATAATTTATAATACGTAAATACTACAGTAATTATTGTGCTTTTATATCGCAATTACTGAAAATATTAACACATAAAATATTTGTTATTTTTACAAAATTTGTTAATCAAAATTTTTGAAGAACGTAATCTAGAAAATATTTTGATATTATAAACAAATTTAAAATGTTATTCTTTTAACCTTTCGTAACATAATCTGATGTAAGTTTTGAAAGATTGCATACTATCATTTTTATTATAAATATATGTATAAATAACATGTATACTTTTTTTTCTCAATTATATTTATTAATACTGATAAAAATTATACATTTTTTTTAATTAATATAAATTACACATGAGTGGAAAAAAGATCGATTAATTGTTTTTTAAACTTTAACTACTTGCGCCCTGACGTTTCTATCTACAACTCGCGCGATGTATTTTATAAACCAGATGTATTACTGCCAGATGGAGTGCATAAATGATTGTATTACAGCAAGAAAAAACGTTTTCATGTTAACTAATGTTTTTTTATAGAAATCTATTGTAGATCATGCCAGCACAAAATATTTCAGAGCCTGTGCCTTCGTTTTTGCATAGTTCCAAAAAATGGGTATGATTCTGTTTCTTATACCCAGGTAACAATAAGAGGCCTAATAGTGCTAGCATGTTTGTGCAACTACAGAGCAAGAACGAACGTCCAGAAAACAATGTATGTCGAAGTCAACACAATACTGCACCAGAGTTTAGTAAACACTTTGGACATATTTTATGTAAAGTTTCATTGATGGTGGAAAGAGAATATAGATGTGGTATCATTTCTTAGAACATTGGTTTATAATAACATTAAAGATAATAATTGTTTTACTAATTAATTATAGTATACATATTTAGAGAAATTTAGACAAAAAATGTTTCTTCATTATATATTTAATTAATACAAACAAATAAAGACTATATTTTAAATGAAATTAGAATAATAAATTGCTTATCAAATAGATTGTAAAGATAATAAAATTTGATAATAAAAAAGAAGTTCTATAAATATATTTCAATTATGATTAATTTTTAAGAAAATAATCAATATTTACCAAAAAAATAAGTGTTGTAAGGTAGAACGTTAAATTGTAATTGGAAATTGTCTATCCCGTTGATTAAATTTACACGCGACACTGTGTCGAAGTAATTAAATTTTGACGCGATCTTCCCAATAATGTGATTACGTGGATGATGACTTGTGAACATCAAAATATCGCGCAAGTTTGATCGCAATTAGGGAACGCGCAGCGAGAAAAATGGATTGACAGCAATTAAGATCGTGTAAATTCTATCGAGAGACGTGCCAAATGCGTTCGATGTATGTTTTAGATCAATTTTATTCTTCTTTTTTTTTTCTCTCTTATTGATCTTTTCAGGCAGATGTAAACGGTGAGAGACGACGTCATTCATTTTCTCCAGCCACTCGGAAAATACCCTTTTCTGCTTGAATTTATTTTCCCTTCATCATCTCATGGTTCTCATTTTATTCTATTTTCTGAGAGTCTAGGGTCGTCATTCTGTAGAAACCCTACATATTTTCTTAATAAATATGAAAATTATGTATGTACTCTGCAAGTGTGTTATTTGAAGTGAGTGCGAGGTATGTTTGAAATGCTATAATCCAACTAGCGAAGGAGTGACGTAATAATGAATGATTCACAAAGCGTTCCGGCTGTCTAGGGTTGTTTAGATAGACGCATTCAAGTAACGTACATCGCACGATGCATGTGTAGATTAGGGCTTTTCTGGCGGCATTTTGAATGCTGCGTATGCAATGTTTATACAAAGCTAAAATAAACCCTTGATCTGGCTTACGGGGATGACAGTCCAACGTAAGGATTACACACGGATGTGTACATATACAAATGGGGCGGCAATACATAATCCAAACACACCAGATTAACTACCAGTCACTGAAGTTTATAGTTTAACAAATCATTTATCATGATACTTATTCCAAAACAAACCTCAAATCCAACTAACTTAGCAAAAATTGTTTCTTTTACTGTGCATCCAGCTTCCCTATACTCATTGGCAATAAATTGATGAAAAAGGAATGCTACAACGAAAAAGGACACATGCATTCAATTTGCTAGGTTCATTGTTAACTTAAAGTTAATTTAAATAGTTTCCATTGTCTGTGTGTGTTAAAGTTTTCCTTGCTCAATTTAAAATGGCACACATTCTGTGTGTATTTATAAACTTGTTTCAAACTCCAAATTCTCGTACACCAGTTGAATTCCCTCTTCTCGTCTCCATAGTTAGAAATAACGAACTTCAAGCTCGCATATCATTATATACAAATTGTTGCGTCTTCCAAAATTACTAAAGTTCTACTTCAATAAATAACTGTCATAAAGTTATATGTGTTTGATGTAGCATAAAATCAAATAATATTGTTTATACTACATACATTCAAACCTGTTTTTATTATTTTCATAATTTATTATTATATATTAATTAGAACTGATTAGAAACTCAATTAAATTAATAAAAAGTACATATTTCTTTTGTGGTTTTTAAATATAAGATATTTTTTAATTAATGTTACAAATGAATGAATAGTTACATAAAAATTGTATGAAAAAAAGCATAATTAGTTCAACATAATAAATAATAACAATATCAATTACAAAAACAAAAAAATAATAATTTAACATTTCCATACAATTATAATGAAACAAAAAACTCAACTGCTAAACGGCTATTGATCATAGGTCTTTCTGCCCTAAGTTCTACTAATTACACAAATTTACTTTTTACCCGATAGATTCGTTCCTGAAAAATCTGTGTAATAAAAACCTTAAACCATAAACCTTTCTATGAGTAAAAAAGTGGTTTCCCAATTCGCTATTTGGTTGAAGATGTGCTCCTGATCAACAACCTTTATTATTCTCAAGTTCGTATAATTCATCCATTTCGCTAGTTGTGGCAAATGGGTAACAATATAGTCAAATTGCGTAAAAAGGATCCATGTAGAAATAGGTTTAAATTTTATATTATATTATTCATTTCAAATGCATATTAAATAGTAACATTAACATTTTTATTGAAAAGAAAACAGAATATTTGTGTGATAATTTTGAAAATATGAAAAAAATCAGTTTTGTTGTAAGATTTTAGAACTAGGTAACAAATTAATGAAAGATATATGAAGTGGAAGAAATGGTACGTTGGTAAAAAGTATTAATAAATACGTAAAATGTCTAATTTATAAGTCTCATTAAATCAAAAGTTAAGAAAAAGAAAGTATATATTTTGAAACCATTTTAATTTGAAATAAAAAATATACTAAAAATCGGTTAATTGTATTTTTTGTATTTTACTTTTGTCGAAAATTGTTAATATATAAATATATTTTTCCAATTATTAGGAATAGTAAATAATAAATAGAGCACAAATTATTGAATAAAGCAATATAATTGTGTTAATTTCTAAAGTAAATACTCTTTAAAATTATTTGGCTATAATCACAACTATGTTTGAATTGAATGTAATATCATATACTGAACTACATAAATTTTATAAGAATACTAGAAAAAAAAAATAAAAAAATTAATACAATATAATTAAATAATTATAACTATATAAATAAAAAGTTTAATAATGACATTTTAAAAGAGTATTTGTAGCAAGTGCTGTTTATATTATTTATTCGTTAAAACCCCCAATGGTGTTGGCGAAAATTGAAAACCAGATTATATTAATAAAGTTTCAGAATAAAATTAATTTAGAATTCTCGTGAATTTGTTTCGACAGCGTCAGGCACTTTAGTGACCAACATATGATTATATACATTAAAATTTGCTTTATTAATATAAATATTTATTTATTTTAATAATAATTATAACAGATTTTAATAATTAATATACATCTGTTAAAATATTATATTAATTATGATAATAAATGGTAAAAATGCAAATGGTGTGTGAATTTATTGGTAAATTTCCCCAATAAATATTATTGAACAAAGGCATTTTTTCAATAAAAAGTATGTTTTTTACTACGAGACGTTATTTTTACCACACTTTAATTATTATAAAATATAGTTTATAACTTTATCAATTTTTTGATTTCATAAATTTGATTATAAGGAAACCTAACATTTATGCATTTTTAAAACTTGTTACATTAAGGAACTTTGTTGCTAGTAAAAAATATCGAAGCTTGTATAATGGTGAAGTGTATTAACTTAGGATGCGATTGAGAGGAGAAATCTTGAGATACTTTTGATTTGAGGGTAATGCAATATGAATATCCAATTTTTCTATTCCCTACGAAGTTTTCAGCTGGGAAAGTTCGCTTTGCGCGGTCCTAGATGGAATGATTGATGGGAGAATTTAACTAGAACAGTTTGATGTTTATGATACGTAATTTATTTATTTTTTTATTTATTTCATATGTATAATATAAGAATACAATCTTTTTACAAGAAGAAAAAAACGTGGACAGTGTACTATGCAGGCAGTAGTATAAATAGAAGAACACAATAGTTTAGCTGAGGGTCGACATAAAAGGGGGATCAGGTCAGGGTTCTTGGCAGGCAGTTGGATTAATGCGGAGCGGTCAAGTAGGAGGAGTAGACGGGTGATGGTATGGAAACGGGAACAGGGACTGAGACGGGATGCGGTATGGTCCTGTGAACAACGGCGTTGAAGCCGTTGTGAGGATCTGCGGTGTAGTCGACGGTACGTCTGGAACCATCGGGATCTACGAGGCTGTATTGTCCACGGACTACATTGCCGGCACGGATTTCGTGCTGGTTCTTGTAGTCACCAGTCGATGGGTCGTTGACATCGTAGGCGTAGGTGTAGTGAGGGTTCGGGTCGAATGGTTCCACCCTAGCTGCGACTACTGCGGGAGCTGCTACTACCGCCGGAGCCGCTCTGATTGCAGAGTATTGGGCGATACCAGGAACGATGGCAGATGGAGCTGAGGCATAACCTGATGACACCGCCGCCCCCGATGCCGTTGCCACGTTCACCGAAGAGCTGGCTGTTGCCGCCGCTGCCGGTGCGACCACCAGGGGCCGGCTGACCGCAACAGTCGGGTGGTTTACTGCACTTGCATAACCATTCGATTGCACTTGATTAGTTGCAATGAAACCACCGCGGACTAAAGCGATTACCGCACACAGTACAATCACCTATAAACATATTAACACATGCAATCTAAACATTTTCATCAATTACATAAAGTGTTATATAGCAAACGCTATCGGACCCATGGATCGACTCGAATTACAATAACCCTTTGTACGCGTTTGCCTTTATTCACCCTCGTCGCCCCTTTTTTCCTTTTACTTTCCGTTTCTTTTGTGCAATCTTAATTATACATAGACCAAGAAAAAAAAACATTTCGCGAAGGAAAGAAACCCAAGTTTAATAAATCTTTCACGCATTTGTAAATTCGTATTTAATTCGATTTTAATTTAACCAATTCGCAAAGGTGTGAGCTTACAACAGCTGCTTTCATGTTCTCACAACTTACATTATTTTCTGACCATAATAAAAGTAAGTTTGAAATATCCGTTTCATGCTTATATTTGATTATGATTATAATGAAAAAAATTATTGTATGTGAATTGTAAATAAATATAAATTCTACTTTAAAATCGAATATTATATGAATAAAATACATATATTTCTGTGGGCATTAGACAATAAATTATTAATTATATTTTATTGATTATATAATATATAATTATGGTATTAAATATATTTTATACACTTTTCAATAATGACATAAAATATGTTTTTCATAATGTATATAAACTAATTTTCTTTACTGATTAATATAACTATAATAATAAAGTAAAATTTATCATAGACATATGGAAATAATAATAAGAATTATATTTAAATAGTAAATTTGTGGTGAAGAGAAAAATGCTATATGATATAATAATTCTTAATTTATTAATTCAAATAATGTTTTGAACGTGACAATGTAAGCGTTTATTTTGTCTTTAAAATTATATTTTAATAGTTATTCATTTTTGTAGAAGATGATCGAAGAGTGCAAAGTAGAGTGACGCGATAAGAAAGAGAAAAGTAAAGATGAAGAGAATGTAATAAGGCACTTTGGAAGTCGTTGAGGGTATTTTTATGATGGGCATAAAGCGATCATCAGCATCCAATGTGTATTACACGGAGTCGGCTCGTAAAGTCTGAACCGTCGACAAATTGGATATAGAAATTGGTTTTTCCTTCTTACCTTTGCCGTCATGTTCACTCTTCGGTTGGGTCACTCTCTTTCTCACTCTCACGTGTTGAGTCGTGGTTAGTAGTGTAGATGTCTGCTTAAGAACTGATAAGGTATACGGGGTCGCGGCGCCCTTTTATACCGGACCTCCTTACATGTACACGATATGGCCGTTATGCAATTCTTCGGACGGCGATCACACGATACCTCTGGGAAACGATATACGCCGGTGTTGCTTACATCCGAGGCCCTGAATCTCGCCGCTCAGATCCATTGTTTTTATTAAAAACTCTGTCTCCTCTACTTTTCTATTCATTGCAAAAAATTGTGAATACAAATTTTTGACCAAGCGTGATTCAAAATCCTCAAATATAACGTTTACTTTAATTCCAATAATCTTAATAAAATAAATAATAGAAAGAATATATCAGTACTATAATAAACAATAACAGAGTTTTTTTTTATATATAAAGAAATACATCAGTTTTTAGTAATATTTAGTATATCAATAGGATATTTTATCAAGTTTTTTAAAGTTCTCACAGAAAATATTTTTTTAATTTTCATACTAGTATTTTCTCATTATTTTCCTCATATAACACTATATATACATATTTGTAAACTTATACCATTGCATTATTAAACTAGAATACAATTTTCTCTCTACATCAATCTTAACTATACCAAATGTTCCTATAAATAAAGATTTACATATATGACAAATATATAGGTTATACTTGTACTTGAAAATGACAAAATATGAAGAAAGTAATGTTAATAACAGCAGCAAATATAACAGACTTCATTTATAAAATATACAGTTTTGTTAATTGTAATTAAAAATAATGAGTACAAAAAAATTATGTTGAATTTTATGTTTTTTATGTTTAACTTTTCCAATATTTATTTGGGTATTTACATAAATAAGTACCGGATTTTAATTTCTGATTTAGCAAGAAGAAGAAGAAGCAAGCAAGACATTTGTCGTATATCTCTCGAGATAACGGGAAATACAAATCTTCCCGAGAAATACCAAGGATGACTCTCTATTATCTATTAATTAACCAATTTTCATTAAATCTTAAATTATTTATTTAGATATTTTTTTAATCGATGTTACAGATATTACAATACACTTGTAGAAACTTATTATATAGATATGATTGATTAGCAACGAAAAATAAAAAAATTAGCAACCAAATTCAAATAATAGATTTTACTGAATAGCTTCCTGATTTATGATTAAAGTTGAATGATCAAATACAGTACTTAAACTTAAATAAAATATCTTCAAGGAATCTTTGTTGATTGTATATTTTAGGTACAATGTCATTGAGAATAAATTAAACAAAATTAATTATCCTTTCTCCGAGACTTTCGTCGCCTTTCCGACCTTACCCCCTTAGGTCATTAGTGAAAGTTTTCATTTTCCTGTTACGTCGAGGGGGGTCGCAGGCCGCACCGTAAATTTCGGCCGAGGGTGTTACCATGCGTCTTCCTAATGCTTTTACGTAACGCTACCACCGTGAATCAAGACCCAACCCTATTCACCCACGTTTCCTTTCTTTTTGTTCCTTCTTTTTTTTTTATTATTTCATTGAAATTCTTCCCCAATTACGCTCTCCCTCTCAGTATGTAATGTGCTTTATTACATTCCATTCCGGGTAATAAATTTGCAATAAAACATTAAAGCAGAAAAGGGACAAATCAGAGCATTCTTATATAGCCGCAATTATGTTTAGAAACTGACGATATTCCGTGATAGCATTCGGTTTCTGTGCGGAGGAGCAGGGAAATCCTTGAGAAAAAACCATAAGCAACACCCGGCGCGTTCACCTTTCCGACATCTGCTTGGCATATAATATATAAATATTGCTGGCTGGGGCCTTTTCTTATTAGGACTTCAATACAATTCGAACGCTCCTAGCTGTGCGAAACGAAAGGCGAAACTTGTTTAGGCTATTCAGAACGAAAAACACGTTTACGGACAAAAAAAGTAAAACGAATAACAAATGCTTTGCATCACGAATATTGAAATAAAATTAAAGATCTAAATACGAAAATATATTGCATCTAAGCAAACTTCAATAAAAAATAAATTTGACTCAAAGTATACTCATTTAACCCGACTTGTCCACATTTTATTTAAATTTATGTAATAATTAATCGATTCATTATATAAATGCTTACTATACACATAAAACATATATACGAATGACAATACTATTAGGATATATTCACGCTATACGTAACATGAGATATACATGTCAGTTATACTTACCAACTTGTTTAGTATCAGATTACAATTAAACTGAAGAGACAGCTATAATTTCACATTCCGTTGCAATGTTTTAGTTTGTTCTCTTCATGAACGTGTAAGCCTCATATTACGCTTAGTTTAGTTACAAGTCTTCTATTTCATTATAAAAAGTTATATAAAATGATGTAACTACACAAATATTAATAACCTCAAAGTTTACTACGTTTACAGATGTTATTTTAATTATATATTTAGTTTAGATTATACAAATGTTGGGTATAATCTAAACTAAATATATAATTAAGAATTCTTAATTACTTCAAATATTGCAGCTTAACTATTAATTTAACATTATTTAGCAAACGTTGCTCTAAGTAATTGTATTTGATGTCTACTCTTTATATCTTTATATAATTCATCATATTTCATAATAAGTTCTTTTTTTATGTTTTGTAATTTTATTTACAATCTGTTCATCAATGTGAACATTGAGTAAATTTAAGATCGTGGTTGACATTAGGTAGGTAATCTTTCCCGGTGGATAGTTACCATTATGATGATTTTTTATTTTAAATTTATAGGTTGGCTGTCGTCTTGTAGGTTAACTTCAGTAGTATATTGATGCTCTACGATTCCACTATTTCCATTCACTGTGAATCTGCTGCTATCCTTAACACTGTCATTGTCCATCGACTTGGCTGAAGGTCCATATACTGAACCTCATTCATTTCACTGTCCATCTATGATGAATGATGGCCTTATTGCTGCAAGCACCGAGAGGGCTCACAAATGATTTGAACCTGTGACCACAAGTTCGTGGGTAGGGCGAGTTACCAATTCGGCTATTAGTCGCCCTATAATATAATTGCTTTAAATTTACATTTTTTTTTTATTTTTCCTTATTTTAATTATACTTAACTAATATAAATTACTTAGATTATCATAAGTAATTTGGTACAAATATATAAAGTATTGTATTATTATCAAATTATAGTATTTCATGTAGGTAATCTCATAATTGTAATTTCTATTTTTAAATTCAGATATATCAGTTACAGATATATTAGATATAGGGGGAAATCCAGGGAATGACCGTTCAAGTCTGTAATTGGTAACTTAAATAAAGGTAGTAGAACAACTCGATTTTTATATCATGTTACAAAGGTAATTAATAATCATTTCATGCTAATTACATACAGTTATAGTTAGATTAGCAAATCAGTAATCAAAATCAAATAATACAACCATAGAATGATTGTATCGAGTTACAGACTGTAGATCATTTCCGTTAACCTGTAATATAAAAAAGAGGCTATCCTCTTAGATGCGGTTAAATAAAATTAAGATTATGCTAACTTTACCTGACCTATGCATTGGTCTGCGAATTTGCAAATAGAACTTTATGACTATCGTAGCTGAAAAGATTTCTGTACGAGTTGTAAGGAATAGGTAAAGTTCTGGAATACGAAGTGGCCGTCTTTAATTGTCGGAAGTTTAATTAGGTCGCTGGAAAACGCCAGTTCACTTATGGAATCTGAATGGAAATGGCAGGCAGGTTCATTTCGAGTCGGGAATCATCTTCCGCTCTTCGCCGATCCAATCTTTTTTTTCTTTCCGAAGGGATATAATGGGAAATTAGTAGTAAACGTTGGAGCTGCTCTTCCATTGGAATCTCTGTAATTGGATTTGTAATTAGGGAATCATATCGGTTTCGAAGCCAAGTAGAAATTTGCCAGGCCGCATTGGGTGCACACCGAGATTGCAGTTAATCCGAGGTAGTAGCTGTGTCGAGCGTCGTCTTCTCAGAGGCGGAGATGGGTGGTTTGAGGATTGAGGGATGAACCTTGCGCGACCCAACCCCCAAACGCCACTAATTGCATTATATTAGAGATGTGTGCGTGACACGAATGGCGAGACGACACGTAGAGTTGAACCTCGAACCGCCCCTCGCATTGTTACGTGCAAATTTAGTGCGTTTAAGTGTTGGCATTGTTTTCGCGGCGGGTTTTAGTCTAGTACACCTTGATCATTACAAAGATGAATACAAATTGTTCGAGCCCACTTTCCCTATACATGCAGAACATAAAGGATCCTCTCTAAAACACACACACACTTGCATATATACATACAAACTTGCACATCCATCCACGTACATGCATATACATACATGTACACATACAGAATCGCATTATATCTGTACACGGGCCCTCGGTTCTATTTACCCCCAAAATGCCTGACATTTAATGCTCCTCGCTATCATCGCATTCACCTCCAAAACAATCAAACTGTTTAACTAATTAATTTAAATTGCACATAAGCCCTCTTGCGCAAGCAAATCGATACTGTCATTAATGTAGTTAATGCGATAGCAAACGCTAATTCGCTATGCAACTAGCAAAACTAATCAATGAAGATTTACAATATTTATGCTGATACATTATTAGAAAATGCTATTACAGATTATACTAATAGAATTTTACATAGACTTTCCAAATCATATCAATTGTACTGATGTATCAGATTTTGAATTTTTTTTACAATACTTATACAGGATGTGGCAGAAATAATTCCCACATTTAAAAGGGGGATTGAAAAAAATAGTACGAGGTATCACCTAAAACGTTTTATTTCCAAAATGTAGTTATGCAATGTGTGAGTTAATTCTGCCGCACCCTGTATGTTTGTGAAGTGTCTATATTCAAGAGCTTATTAATATCTAAAAAGTGCATATTATACATATTTATCTGGTTTTGTTTTTAACTACAATCTATCTTGCTTTTCTCACTATTTAATTCCTAGTTATAAGATGAAGTGATAATTATTATTTAAAATTGTTAGACCAAA